GCATGCAGTACAAATTATTCATCATCGGCATAATAATTTAATAACTAAATACGAATGGAACACCACAAGCTTGGTTCCCTTGTTCGTTCAAATTCTTGGTAAAGGGGTTCAGCATCTCTCTATCTGGGGTATAGCACATCAACCCCAGGCACCAATTTAGTGGTGGAGCTGGCCCTACACCCCAGCAAGGGTCCTGTACTGAAAAAGGGGGAACAATAGAAAGGGCCAATCAAGGAAATACCAGCAAAATTCAAGCCTTCCTTTTTGCAGGCAACCGCAGTCATCATCATATGAGAACCATCAAGCGAGTGAACAAAATTTGGTGGAAATGCTGTCCTCTGCCTCCTAACCATGACCTATAATATTTGAATTGAAAACAGACAATTTAAATCTGAAAAATGTAAATTAAAATGCCAAACCCCAAAGTTTATATGAAGATGAAAATATTTGAAATGACCATGGGCATCTCATTAAGGACCAATGTGCATGATGTGAAGTCTTCCAACGCACTGGAATCACAAATTCCTATCATAAATTATTCCTTGTAAGTAATTTTACCCGCAATCATTTTTTATGTTTTTCTACAAAATATTCCCATGTCTTCCTTTTTCTGCTCAGTTAACAAAGTTGTTAAAACTTTCATATAGATTTTTTACGTACACAAATTGATGAACGTAATTTCAATGTGCAATATAAGAAAATTTGATATTAATTAAAAAGGTTATATCAAATAAAAAATCACGCAATGTTCATGGTATTATGCTATTTGAAAATTCTGAAAATTGCAGTGTACAAAATACATAACAAATACTGTTATTTCAGTTTATTTTGAGAAAAAATTGTTTTTTACCAGCTCCTTGACCTATTAAAAAAAAGCAATTCAGGAACATTGACCAAGAAGCTAAAAGTTGGATTTCCAAGATTTGATCATAGCAACCAATCAATGGGCATCTTCACACACACACTCTCGTGTAGCAAGATATTTATATTTAAGATTAACATGGGAATTACGGTTTTGGGGAAGGGGATCCCAATGTTATTCAAAATAATGATGTAAACTTCACATACCTTGTCTGTTTCTCGTTGCAATGACAACATCTGAAGTGAAGTTTTGATCTGCAAGCACAATAATAATAGATTATTAACCTACACAGACCCTTGAAATCCTAAGAACTTGGAAGAAGTATCAAGAATGCAATTCCAACAAAACTCTATTCACTCACAATATGTGATCCTAGTTTTCGGTAAGGTTGAACAACAGGAAGTCCAAGAGGAGTGCTCCAGCGTACTGGTTGATTTTCAGATGCAATTATCTGTTCAAATTGTCTTAGTCATTAATACCATAAACTAAGTATACAACTCAAAATACATTTTGTTCTCTCTCCATTTCCACCTATAAGAATATGCACAGTGTGCACAAATCAGTACAAGAGTAATACAACATACTTTTGCACAGTCACCAAGCCAGTTCATGATACCTCGCGCACCTTGAAACATTTCCTCTAAGGCGGTTAAAGTGACCTAAGAAGTGAGAAGGGAATAAAGATGAAACAAACAACAAATATACACCTAATAGGTATTTAAAACACAATTAACCCTCAAACCTTTGCAGCATAACAAGAAGCACCAAAGAGCTCTGTATCATCTGGAATGGCATTCCTTTCCTTCAATCTCCTCTTTATCTGTTCCCGTGCACCAATGTAAGTGACACCATACACTGATGTCATCACTGTCTGCTTAACCAATTTTCTATCAACCTATACAAAACTCAAGATAAGCACAAAATCAGTGGAGATGAAGAGTGAAAAGGGAAAAACGCACCATTACCTAGAATCTAGAATCAGTTACACAATAAATACATTATTGATTCCAGGAAGACTAATTTTCACTTTCCAGCAACCATAACTAACCAACCTCCTTGCACAAATACGAACCTCATCAGATAAAAAAGAATAGAAAATAACCTCATTAACTAAAGTCCTCGCATGAAGAGCATCAGGAAAAATTGCAGGATCTTTCTGAGCATCCTTATGCATAATGTTTGATACTCTGCATAGAAATAATTTGTCTACAATTGAGTTGTTTATTTTGAGATCATTCATCCCACAAGGAAAGATACGTGTCTACAAAAAAGAGGGCTGCACGACCAAAAGAAAAGAAAAAATTCTATACAGAATAACTACAACTAAATAAAATAGCAGACCCATGATATAATTGGATGGGAACACATAAGTGCACAATAATATATCGTCCATAGAGAAGACAAAACAAAATGGTCAAACACTGCATTCATTTATCTTCTAACAATTCTAAAAACTGCCAACAATCCAAGAAAGTTGGCATGTTGTCCTTAACAGCCTAGATCTGTCCAACCAAAAGCAAGAGATTTTGAATTTTCCATGCTTACCAAGAAATTTTCAAAGATATATATGTCATCATCAAACTTATAACCCTGAAGAGAAACTTATAACCCTGAAGAGGCATTTAGTACAAGGGGAGTTCTTTCCTATCCAGTAATCATGATTCCCAAGAATCACGAAATGATTAAAATGTTATTGATTAATCATAGTATTTGGCAGAGAATTTAGGAGTTTCCTAGGAATAAAAAAGAAATGTGGTATTTTTACGCAAATCAATAATTATTACTACATTAAATTATCAAACAGAAGTAACATGATATTTTTACTAAAACTTTGTTTCTTATGGAAAAAAATTGAGGAACATAGCTAAAATCATTCCCAGGAATTGTTTCCTAAAAATGTCATATTTTAAACATTAAACCAGTTGAATATAGTAAAAACTACGTATGGGATTAATCTCCCTTATGTTGAATATATATGTAGGGTCCTCTATTTATAATAGAAAAAATATGAACTAAGTTCAAAATACAAATAAGAAATAATAACAAACTAACTAAATATAAAAATAAAGAAAAGATAAAAATAATATATTTAACCTAACCAAACATGCAAATCAAACTTTCTCAGCTTCAAATTCCAGGGAAACTAAAAATTTCCCTTGTACTAAGCATCCATGATGTTCCCCAACCAAAAGCACTATCCACAATCATGGAAAAAAAATCCTTAGAAAAGTATTTAGCAGGTTCATGTTCATTGAGGTGTCTCCCCACCTAAACTTCAACTTGAGAGGAAAACATTAGGATTCTGAGAGGAAAGACAGACGTACATAGAAATAGTAGGTCCAATCTTGCTCAAAAAACAGTATTACGTTTAACATCTATTCATATTCAGGACATTATACATTTGTCTCGTCATGTATAAATACTGTTTTTTTCTCACAAAAAAATGAAACATAAAATCAAGCAGTTCAATACGCAACAATACACAAACTCACCTAGCTGCTATTCCTGAGTAAACATCTGCTGGCTTCTCTCCTGCAACTAGATTGACAGCAACAGCTCCTAACTGAATAAAAGTTAATAATTAACTACTTGACAGGTATTTCCTCTGGAAATACAATTGTTATACTCAAAATTGGAAAAAACATAACAGATGGCATGCATGCTATTGGCCAAGCCACAGGGACCAGAAGCATATTAATAGGTCTTACTGAACATGTGATAATCACTTCTCCGCTCATAAAGCAGTACAGGACGTGAGCATATGTTTAATTCAGTGCCACTTTTGACAAGACTAATTTGGACAAAAGCCCAAACAGACAACAAACTTGGCAGTAAAAACTAACCAAATAGTACAAATGTACAGAGATGTGATCTTAATCTACTCGGCCAAAATCATTTTCAACAATTATCTAAATCTTAAGATTTTGAGCTACATTCAGAACAGATATTCAGTCCGTTTTCTCTAACTTGAATTCTGATATCTAGGACCAAAGAAATTGGGTAAAAAAAATCAATGTGACAAAGGCCTTTACCTTGTCTCTCCCCAAGGCAGCATAATGTTGTAAACCATTGCAGGAGCCATCCTAAGAGAGAAAATCACGGTAGTACATATAGTTATCAGTTAATAAACATGATTCATTTTATACAGAGATAACAAAAATGATAAACATTACAACGACAAGTACGAACATTACATGGTTAGTAGGGGTTTACAAAGTTTGTCAATGATTAATTCTAGCTGGTAAAGTTGAACTTGTAGGGAGTTCAAATCTGAGGACCTTGTTAAGACGTGTACATCTATTTTTCAGTAATGATAACCAAAATTGTTACTCTCTTCTTAGCAAATACATTCATGCACTCATGGGTAGTAATCCCTCACATCATCCATATAATCTTACTCTCTATATAGAGATAGGTGAACAGGTGCAAATTATATGCACATATAATAGGATATTTAAAAGCAAAAGTAGCCAGATTAACCTGAAAAATGGAACATGCCTAATTTTAGAGGCTTGGCTTCTGTATACATTTCTTAGCTTTTCTCATTCTTAGCTCAAATGAATAAGCAAAGAAAAACTGCTAATTTTGGTTTAAATTTGGCTTTTACCATTCTTAGCTTAAACAAACAAGCAGTGAACCCTAATATATCAATGTTCATCTTTGGCAACTGACAAGAAATATGGTCCTTACACATAAGAGGAGATTATTGGTTGTTAACCTATTTTTACAAATTTAGAACTCGATCTCTTTTCATCCCTTTATTTTGATAAATGGCATGGCGCCTGTATGGAATGTATCAAGATCTCTAGACACTTCTTACTCCATGACAATTTGAAGACCCTTTGTTTGCTTATATTGATTGGCTTCACGCTGCCTCACAATTTAAATAAAGTCCTTTGACCATCAGCATATATAAAGAAACTTGAGAACCGCAATGCAATTTTATGACCCTAGAATTGTAAGGTTTGCCATTAGAGTATGTTGATACCCGTGGTCAAATTTTGGGATCACCTGTAAACCCTAATATGACTTTGGCATCATCTTATTGGAGTCTGCAGACATCACCCCTAGACTTGTCAACTCTAATAAACAATTCACTGAGATATTTACCAAGTCACTAAGAAGAACAAAGATCAATTATATTTGCACCAAGTTGAGCCATATGACTTGTATTCTCCAACTTGAGAAAGGTGTTATAATTACAAAATTAAGGTGTGGATCCTTTATAATTAGGAATATCTAGATTACATATGTATTATTATGAATGTTTTTATTTATTCTCCTATCATATTTTTATTATTACAAGATATTAAATCTCCTCTATTTATTGTATTGATTTCGATTTCTCAATATAAATAAAGCACCCTCATATTGTGTTAGAAACACCCATTTTTAGCTCAAGGAATTTGAAATTAAGACCTTGGGAAAATTGAAGTTGCACATTCAAAAAAGGGAATATTTATATCTCAACAAAAATACATCATTGATTTGTTGAAAGAAACTGGTAAGACAACATGCAAGCCTACAAGTACACCAATTGATCCTAGCATGATATTGGGAAATGCAGAAGAAGATACTATAGTTGACAAGGAAATGTATCAAAGGCTAGTTGGTAGACTAATTTATTTATCTCACATTAGACCTGATGTTGCATTCGCTGTGAGTCTAGTTAGCTAGTTCATGCACCAACCGAAGGAATGTAAGTCTGGAACCCCAGGCAGGGGAATTTTGTTTGAACGAAATGGGAATGTAAGTCTGGAAGCATATACAAATGCAGACTATGCAGGGTCAATTGTGAATAGGAGGTCAACTACGAGATATTGCACTTTCCTTGGAGGGAATCTTGTGACTTGGAAGAGTAAAAAACAAAGTGTGGTAGCCAAATCCAATGTTGTAACAGAATTCAGGGCAATGACACGAGGGATATGTGAACTACTTTAGCTGGAGATCATCTTGGAAGACTTGGGAATAAAATTGAATGAATCGATACTTTGTTGTGATAACAAATCTGCTATTAGCATAGCTCATAATCTAGTGCACCATGATAGAACCAAACATATTGAGGTTGACAGACATTTTATCATAGAAAAATTAGATAGTGGTCTGATCTGCACTCTATATGTCTCCTCACAGGACAACCTCGCACATATTCTAACAAAGGGACTAAACAATAACAACTTTGAGAGTATTGTTTCCAAGCTAGGAATGGAAAATACTTATTCACCAATTTGAGGGAGAGTGTTAGAATCTGTTTTGGCTGTATTATTTCTGTCAGGATCTTTGTTTTTATTAGTTATATTTTTTCCGTATTTAACAAATTATAATTATTGTGAATAATGAGATATCCCTGAATCATAGGGATCTGGTTGTCTAGGAGCTATTATTATGCTTCCTAAAATAGCTTTCTAACCTTGTATATATGAATTGTATTCTCAGCATAATAAAAATATATTAGATTCTACCCTAAATTATGAGATTATGGAATATTTTAATATGCTAAACTCCATTCAACCATGCAAATACCTGATGTACAGGAATATGTGAGATGAATGTTTCTGGTGACGGGCTTTTCAAAGCTTCAGTTAGAGTTATGCACACAGCTAAGCACTGCAATGGATCTTCTGCTTTCAACCACCACCGCCTCCCTTCAAGAGGTTTGTTTGCAGAATCAAATATGTCTTCAAAATGATTTTCACTAAATGCTACGCGTCCCTCATGGGATAGTTTATCAACACCGCCAGCATAGAGATTTGCTAAGTGTATCTTCAGCCACCGTAGGCCAGACTTTCCTAGAGGGCGTCCATCTGCGAATTCCAATATTCCCCGGCATAAATCTGAACCAAGGTGATTTAAGTGTGGGTGCATGGGATATGCACGCCCTCGGAAATCAACATTGTGTGGGTAGTAAAAGCCCTCTTCATCCTTCATTTTCCGTGCTACCTGTACCCATATTGGTTGGGTCACCAGACAGAATATGGATTACAGACTAATGTGCATATTGTTAAAGAGGCTTACAGCAAGTTTAAGTTCTATGTCACAACGCAGTGAATATCTCTCTCTGTTCTCTTTCTGCACAGATTTGACGGTCCACTTCCATTTCTTTATCTTTGCTTCATCATCAGTATCTGGTTTATCAGGTAAAGGAACCTGGCAATAGAAATTTAAACACCATTTCAATCCATAGTCAAGTCTCTTAAAGCATAATTTCAAAATATAAAATTCATAATCCGTAGACCTTGTGATATTTAGGCATAGTAATAGTCAAACAAGTTAATAAGCTACAGCATAATCAGTTGACAATTATTAAAACAGAGAATATAACAAGCAGACAGCAACTACTTAATTGTACTTACATCATAGCGGTCCACCAAATCAGCAAGACGGCCTCCACTAGCCCATATCCTGTCTACGACACTCAGTACTTTTTTATTTATCCTCCATTTTGTATGCCCAAGAGTATCCAGAGCCTGATCACATGAGTTTATGTTTGTTTAAGAAAAAATCCTTCCCTAACTCTTACTTAGATAAAAGAATAGTGAAACGCACACTGATCTCAAACACTTCCCTCAGTAACCCTAAAATTTGTATGTAATGCAGTGTACCCAACAAGCATGATATCTATTATAACAAATTCAGACCTCAAATATAGGTTCTAATTGCTTCCTGGGGGCCCTCTTAATAGCCTCACGTTGTTGCCTGACTCCATGAGTACGCATAACGTAAGAAGGTAAGAACAAGTGCCCACCTTTGTCATAACTGTGAAAGCACAACAAAGAGAAAATGGAGAAGTCAGCACTTAACTCAGACATTCAGCTAAAAGAAAAAAAAAATGGTAGTGATTTACTTATTGTAAACATTGATTCATGTGTTTGACAGTGTATAAGGAAAATGTTGATTCACATTTGGAAACTGATTGTAAATGGCAATTTATTGGGTTAATAGTATAATTGAGTACAACAAAGTACACTACAGACTCGCAATAAGCATAAAGTACCCTCAAAAACAGGAATTACTTGTAGAAAACCACAACAAAAGAAATGAAAAAACATGAATAAAACAGGGTAGCCCAACCCCATGGCCAATAAGAAATAATAAACCCCTTAAACAAATGACAATCACAGCCCAAGCATTACCACATAGAAGCTAATAGCTAATCCACTAACAACTGAATGCACCAAAGGATATTATATTAAAGAGTATCATATGCTGATCATCATCTTCATATCTTTTTTACCTTGTTTGGAGTTAGGACCACCTTCTAGCCCCAATTCATAGCATTAGTTTAAAGAAAAGGCTTTGAAATCATACCCAACTATAAGATTGAAATACAGAAAGGGAGCAAGACACCAAATAAATGCAATAGTTGTCATACCCTGTCCAGTTGACTGGTGGAACCAACATAGGCATATAAGGAATGACCATATTTTTTGCCTGTAGAAAAATGGAAAATTTCAAAAGAAATACACACACACACACACACAAAATAAGATATTAAGATGCAATCATCAATTGAGAACTGATTGAATTAAACTGTACCTACGCTTTAGCTTTGATACCCAATAAGATAAGCTAATAAACCTCTGAAAATTGATGTCATTCAATCAGAGAGATACGCAGAGAGTCATGTGAGAGATTAAAGGAGCAATTTGTTCATTGACAACCATCTCCCCAATATAGTATGAAATTCTCCCACTGAAAAAACTCTATTCATCTACACCCAAAGACTTGAGAATAAAATATGGATTCTACATAACCACTGTCCACACCATAAGGCTATGGCGGGGAGAGAAGTANTTCATGGTATTATGCTATTTGAAAATTCTGAAAATTGCAGTGTACAAAATACATAACAAATACTGTTATTTCAGTTTATTTTGAGAAAAAATTGTTTTTTACCAGCTCCTTGACCTATTAAAAAAAAGCAATTCAGGAACATTGACCAAGAAGCTAAAAGTTGGATTTCCAAGATTTGATCATAGCAACCAATCAATGGGCATCTTCACACACACACTCTCGTGTAGCAAGATATTTATATTTAAGATTAACATGGGAATTACGGTTTTGGGGAAGGGGATCCCAATGTTATTCAAAATAATGATGTAAACTTCACATACCTTGTCTGTTTCTCGTTGCAATGACAACATCTGAAGTGAAGTTTTGATCTGCAAGCACAATAATAATAGATTATTAACCTACACAGACCCTTGAAATCCTAAGAACTTGGAAGAAGTATCAAGAATGCAATTCCAACAAAACTCTATTCACTCACAATATGCGATCCTAGTTTTCGGTAAGGTTGAACAACAGGAAGTCCAAGAGGAGTGCTCCAGCGTACTGGTTGATTTTCAGATGCAATTATCTGTTCAAATTGTCTTAGTCATTAATACCATAAACTAAGTATACAACTCAAAATACATTTTGTTCTCTCTCCATTTCCACCTATAAGAATATGCACAGTGTGCACAAATCAGTACAAGAGTAATACAACATACTTTTGCACAGTCACCAAGCCAGTTCATGATACCTCGCGCACCTTGAAACATTTCCTCTAAGGCGGTTAAAGTGACCTAAGAAGTGAGAAGGGAATAAAGATGAAACAAACAACAAATATACACCTAATAGGTATTTAAAACACAATTAACCCTCAAACCTTTGCAGCATAACAAGAAGCACCAAAGAGCTCTGTATCATCTGGAATGGCATTCCTTTCCTTCAATCTCCTCTTTATCTGTTCCCGTGCACCAATGTAAGTGACACCATACACTGATGTCATCACTGTCTGCTTAACCAATTTTCTATCAACCTATACAAAACTCAAGATAAGCACAAAATCAGTGGAGATGAAGAGTGAAAAGGGAAAAACGCACCATTACCTAGAATCTAGAATCAGTTACACAATAAATACATTATTGATTCCAGGAAGACTAATTTTCACTTTCCAGCAACCATAACTAACCAACCTCCTTGCACAAATACGAACCTCATCAGATAAAAAAGAATAGAAAATAACCTCATTAACTAAAGTCCTCGCATGAAGAGCATCAGGAAAAATTGCAGGATCTTTCTGAGCATCCTTATGCATAATGTTTGATACTCTGCATAGAAATAATTTGTCTACAATTGAGTTGTTTATTTTGAGAACATTCATCCCACAAGGAAAGATACGTGTCTACAAAAAAGAGGGCTGCACGACCAAAAGAAAAGAAAAAATTCTATACAGAATAACTACAACTAAATAAAATAGCAGACCCATGACATAATTGGATGGGAACACATAAGTGCACAATAATATATCGTCCATAGAGAAGACAAAACAAAATGGTCAAACACTGCATTCATTTATCTTCTAACAATTCTAAAAACTGCCAACAATCCAAGAAAGTTGGCATGTTGTCCTTAACAGCCTAGATCTGTCCAACCAAAAGCAAGAGATTTTGAATTTTCCATGCTTACCAAGAAATTTTCAAAGATATATATGTCATCATCAAACTTATAACCCTGAAGAGAAACTTATAACCCTGAAGAGGCATTTAGTACAAGGGGAGTTCTTTCCTATCCAGTAATCATGATTCCCAAGAATCACGAAATGATTAAAATGTTATTGATTAATCATAGTATTTGGCAGAGAATTTAGGAGTTTCCTAGGAATAAAAAAGAAATGTGGTATTTTTACGCAAATCAATAATTATTACTACATTAAATTATCAAACAGAAGTAACATGATATTTTTACTAAAACTTTGTTTCTTATGGAAAAAAATTGAGGAACATAGCTAAAATCATTCCCAGGAATTGTTTCCTAAAAATGTCATATTTTAAACATTAAACCAGTTGAATATAGTAAAAACTACGTATGGGATTAATCTCCCTTATGTTGAATATATATGTAGGGTCCTCTATTTATAATAGAAAAAATATGAACTAAGTTCAAAATACAAATAAGAAATAATAACAAACTAACTAAAAATAAAAATAAAGAAAAGATAAAAATAATATATCTAACCAAACCAAACATGCAAAGCAAACTTTCTCAGCTTCAAATTCCAGGGAAACTAAAAATTTCCCTTGTACTAAGCATCCATGATGTTCCCCAACCAAAAGCACTATCCACAATCATGGAAAAAAAATCCTTAGAAAAGTATTTAGCAGGTTCATGTTCATTGAGGTGTCTCCCCACCTAAACTTCAACTTGAGAGGAAAACATTAGGATTCTGAGAGGAAAGACAGACGTACATAGAAATAGTAGGTCCAATCTTGCTCAAAAAACAGTATTACGTTTAACATCTATTCATATTCAGGACATTATACATTTGTCTCGTCATGTATAAATACTGTTTTTTTCTCACAAAAAAATGAAACATAAAATCAAGCAGTTCAATACGCAACAATACACAAACTCACCTAGCTGCTATTCCTGAGTAAACATCTGCTGGCTTCTCTCCTGCAACTAGATTGACAGCAACAGCTCCTAACTGAATAAAAGTTAATAATGAACTACTTGACAGGTATTTCCTCTGGAAATACAATTGTTATACTCAAAATTGGAAAAAACATAACAGATGGCATGCATGCTATTGGCCAAGCCACAGGGACCAGAAGCATATTAATAGGTCTTACTGAACATGTGATAATCACATCTCCGCTCATAAAGCAGTACAGGACGTGAGCATATGTTTAATTCAGTGCCACTTTTGACAAGACTAATTTGGACAAAAGCCCAAACAGACAACAAACTTGGCAGTAAAAACTAACCAAATAGTACAAATGTACAGAGATGTGATCTTAATCTACTCGGCCAAAATCATTTTCAACAATTATCTAAATCTTAAGATTTTGAGCTACATTCAGAACAGATATTCAGTCCGTTTTCTCTAACTTGAATTCTGATATCTAGGACCAAAGAAATTGGGAAAAAAAAAGCAATGTGACAAAGGCCTTTACCTTGTCTCTCCCCAAGGCAGCATAATGTTGTAAACCATTGCAGGAGCCATCCTAAGAGAGAAAATCACGGTAGTACATATAGTTATCAGTTAATAAACATGATTCATTTTATACAGAGATAACAAAAATGATAAACATTACAACGACAAGTACGAACATTACATGGTTAGTAGGGGTTTACAAAGTTTGTCAATGATTAATTCTAGCTGGTAAAGTTGAACTTGTAGGGAGTTCAAATCTGAGGACCTTGTTAAGACGTGTACATCTATTTTTCAGTAATGATAACCAAAATTGTTACTCTCTTCTTAGCAAATACATTCATGCACTCATGGGTAGTAATCCCTCACATCATCCATATAATCTTACTCTCTATATAGAGATAGGTGAACAGGTGCAAATTATATGCACATATAATAGGATATTTAAAAGCAAAAGTAGCCAGATTAACCTGAAAAATGGAACATGCCTAATTTTAGAGGCTTGGCTTCTGTATACATTTCTTAGCTTTTCTCATTCTTAGCTCAAATGAATAAGCAAAGAAAAACTGCTAATTTTGGTTTAAATTTGGCTTTTACCATTCTTAGCTTAAACAAACAAGCAGTGAACCCTAATATATCAATGTTCATCTTTGGCAACTGACAAGAAATATGGTCCTTACACATAAGAGGAGATTATTGGTTGTTAACCTATTTTTACAAATTTAGAACTCGATCTCTTTTCATCCCTTTATTTTGATAAATGGCATGGCGCCTGTATGGAATGTATCAAGATCTCTAGACACTTCTTACTCCATGACAATTTGAAGACCCTTTGTTTGCTTATATTGATTGGCTTCACGCTGCCTCACAATTTAAATAAAGTCCTTTGACCATCAGCATATATAAAGAAACTTGAGAACCGCAATGCAATTTTATGACCCTAGAATTGTAAGGTTTGCCATTAGAGTATGTTGATACCCGTGGTCAAATTTTGGGATCACCTGTAAACCCTAATATGACTTTGGCATCATCTTATTGGAGTCTGCAGACATCACCCCTAGACTTGTCAACTCTAATAAACAATTCACTGAGATATTTACCAAGTCACTAAGAAGAACAAAGATCAATTATATTTGCACCAAGTTGAGCCATATGACTTGTATGCTCCAACTTGAGAAAGGTGTTATAATTACAAAATTAAGGTGTGGATCCTTTATAATTAGGAATATCTAGATTACATATGTATTATTATGAATGTTTTTATTTATTCTCCTATCATATTTTTATTATTACAAGATATTAAATCTCCTCTATTTATTGTATTGATTTCGATTTCTCAATATAAATAAAGCACCCTCATATTGTGTTAGAAACACCCATTTTTAGCTCAAGGAATTTGAAATTAAGACCTTGGGAAAATTGAAGTTGCACATTCAAAAAAGGGAATATTTATATCTCAACAAAAATACATCATTGATTTGTTGAAAGAAACTGGTAAGACAACATGCAAGCCTACAAGTACACCAATTGATCCTAGCATGAGATTGGGAAATGCAGAAGAAGATACTATAGTTGACAAGGAAATGTATCAAAGGCTAGTTGGTAGACTAATTTATTTATCTCACATTAGACCTGATGTTGCATTCGCTGTGAGTCTAGTTAGCTAGTTCATGCACCAACCGAAGGAATGTAAGTCTGGAACCCCAGGCAGGGGAATTTTGTTTGAACGAAATGGGAATGTAAGTCTGGAAGCATATACAAATGCAGACTATGCAGGGTCAATTGTGAATAGGAGGTCAACTACGAGATATTGCACTTTCCTTGGAGGGAATCTTGTGACTTGGAAGAGTAAAAAACAAAGTGTGGTAGCCAAATCCAATGTTGTAACAGAATTCAGGGCAATGACACGAGGGATATGTGAACTACTTTAGCTGGAGATCATCTTGGAAGACTTGGGAATAAAATTGAATGAATCGATACTTTGTTGTGATAACAAATCTGCTATTAGCATAGCTCATAATCTAGTGCACCATGATAGAACCAAACATATTGAGGTTGACAGACATTTTATCATAGAAAAATTAGATAGTGGTCTGATCTGCACTCTATATGTCTCCTCACAGGACAACCTCGCACATATTCTAACAAAGGGACTAAACAATAACAACTTTGAGAGTATTGTTTCCAAGCTAGGAATGGAAAATACTTATTCACCAATTTGAGGGAGAGTGTTAGAATCTGTTTTGGCTGTATTATTTCTGTCAGGATCTTTGTTTTTATTAGTTATATTTTTTCCGTATTTAACAAATTATAATTATTGTGAATAATGAGATATCCCTGAATCATAGGGATCTGGTTGTCTAGGAGCTATTATTATGCTTCCTAAAATAGCTTTCTAACCTTGTATATATGAATTGTATTCTCAGCATAATAAAAATATATTAGATTCTACCCTAAATTATGAGATTATGGAATATTTTAATATGCTAAACTCCATTCAACCATGCAAATACCTGATGTACAGGAATATGTGAGATGAATGTTTCTGGTGACGGGCTTTTCAAAGCTTCAGTTAGAGTTATGCACACAGCTAAGCACTGCAATGGATCTTCTGCTTTCAACCACCACCGCCTCCCTTCAAGAGGTTTGTTTGCAGAATCAAATATGTCTTCAAAATGATTTTCACTAAATGCTACGCGTCCCTCATGGGATAGTTTATCAACACCGCCAGCATAGAGATTTGCTAAGTGTATCTTCAGCCACCGTAGGCCAGACTTTCCTAGAGGGCGTCCATCTGCGAATTCCAATATTCCCCGGCATAAATCTGAACCAAGGTGATTTAAGTGTGGGTGCATGGGATATGCACGCCCTCGGAAATCAACATTGTGTGGGTAGTAAAAGCCCTCTTCATCCTTCATTTTCCGTGCTACCTGTACCCATATTGGTTGGGTCACCAGACAGAATATGGATTACAGACTAATGTGCATATTGTTAAAGAGGCTTACAGCAAGTTTAAGTTCTATGTCACAACGCAGTGAATATCTCTCTCTGTTCTCTTTCTGCACAGATTTGACGGTCCACTTCCATTTCTTTATCTTTGCTTCATCATCAGTATCTGGTTTATCAGGTAAAGGAACCTGGCAATAGAAATTTAAACACCATTTCAATCCATAGTCAAGTCTCTTAAAGCATAATTTCAAAATATAAAATTCATAATCCGTAGACCTTGGGATATTTAGGCATAGTAATAGTCAAACAAGTTAATAAGCTACAGCATAATCAGTTGACAATTATTAAAACAGAGAATATAACAAGCAGACAGCAACTACTTAATTGTACTTACATCATAGCGGTCCACCAAATCAGCAAGACGGCCTCCACTAGCCCATATCCTGTCTACGACACTCAGTACCTTTTTATTTATCCTCCATTTTGTATGCCCAAGAGTATCCAGAGCCTGATCACATGAGTTTATGTTTGTTTAAGAAAAAATCCTTCCCTAACTCTTACTTAGATAAAAGAATAGTGAAACGCACACTGATCTCAAACACTTCCCTCAGTAACCCTAAAATTTGTATGTAATGCAGTGTACCCAACAAGCATGATATCTATTATAACAAATTCAGACCTCAAATATAGGTTCTAATTGCTTCCTGGGGGCCCTCTTAATAGCCTCACGTTGTTGCCTGACTCCATGAGTACGCATAACGTAAGAAGGTAAGAACAAGTGCCCACCTTTGTCATAACTGTGAAAGCACAACAAAGAGAAAATGGAGAAGTCAGCACTTAACTCAGACATTCAGCTAAAAGAAAAAAAAAATGGTAGTGATTTACTTATTGTAAACATTGATTCATGTGTTTGACAGTGTATAAGGAAAATGTTGATTCACATTTGGAAACTGATTGTAAATGGCAATTTATTGGGTTAATAGTATAATTGAGTACAACAAAGTACACTACAGACTCGCAATAAGCATAAAGTACCCTCAAAAACAGGAATTACTTGTAGAAAACCACAACAAAAGAAATGAAAAAACATGAATAAAACAGGGTAGCCCAACCCCATGGCCAATAAGAAATAATAAACCCCTTAAACAAATGACAATCACAGCCCAAGCATTACCACATAGAAGCTAAGAGCTAATCCACTAACAACCGAATGCACCAAAGGATAGTATATTAAAGAGTATCATAAGCTGACCATCATCTTCATATCTTTTTTACCTTGTTTGGAGTTAGGACCACCTTCTAGCCCCAATTCATAGCATTAGTTTAAAGAAAAGGCTTTGAAATCATACCCAACTATAAGATTGAAATACAGAAAGGGAGCAAGACACCAAATAAATGCAATAGTTGTCATACCCTGTCCAGTTGACTGGTGGAACCAACATAGGCATATAAGGAATGACCATATTTTTTGCCTGTAGAAAAATGGAAAATTTCAAAAGAAATACACACACACACACACACAAAATAAGATATTAAGATGCAATCATCAATTGAGAACTGATTGAATTAAACTGTACCTACGCTTTAGCTTTGATACCCAATAAGATAAGCTAATAAACCTCTGAAAATTGATGTCATTCAATCAGAGAGATACGCAGAGAGTCATGTGAGAGATTAAAGGAGCAATTTGTTCATTGACAACCATCTCCCCAATATAGTATGAAATTCTCCCACTGAAAAAACTCTATTCATCTACACCCAAAGACTTGAGAATAAAATATGGATTCTACATAACCACTGTCCACACCATAAGGCTATGGCGGGGAGAGAAGTATATTTAAAATGATGAAATAAGCTTTGATGTGCCACAAGCATGACTACAACACCAATTAACTCCAGCGTAAGCAGGTAAATTTACTATCACCCACATTGGGCAACAAAATCGATTTAGCAAACTGATAGGCCCATTTAGCAAAACACAAGAGATAATGAAAAGAACAACAGAGCACAATACTGGAGAGATGTCCTTCGATGCGATAAGCAAGGAACTGGGCTTGAAGATAAAGATATAGTTTAGAAGCTTCGAGTATTGTGCTCCAACCTAATAATAAACCACGTTGACAACAAAATCTGCACCTTTCTACAAAAGTTTTCTAGAATCAAGGGTTTAGGTAGTATCCTGATAAAATCACTACACTAAGTCTAAAGTCTAGGAAAATATTAAATTGGTAAGATTTTGGTCTTACAAGTAGGCTTAGAAGTACTACTGTAAATGCTTAAAGTTCTTAATATATAGACTTATTGTGAATTCAAAGTCTAGGAAAAAAGACTAGATTGGCAAGATTTTGATCTAGCTAGATTCTCGTGTATCTCCTTTATTCTCTCTCCTCTCTTAACTTTATCATCATCATCCTATGATTGTCAAGATCCAGCACTGTCACGATTATGTCAATTTTTTCCTAACCCAGATTCAATTCAGGATCTAAATTATCAGTAAAGAAGTCCATGAGCTAAATTCCCTTGACAAATAACAATGCCTAAAACGTTACTGGGAGATTTCCCGAATCTTGAACAATTCCATTTAAATTTCTATTGAAGAACAAAAGGTGATGGAATATACTTACAGTCCTGTCAAGGCCTTTAAGAATTAGAGGGTCACATTGAATAATACCATATCTTCTACTTGATTTACTGTTAAAATTAAAAGAAAAAAGAAAAAAATCCAGATCAACAATGTAAAATACTGCTGGAAAATTTAACTTGACTATGAGAGAGAGCATAAAGCTCACATTGACTCTTTTGTCACTGTTATAAATGAATGAATAAATGCAGGTCGGATATCAGGTGCATCATCCAGTAATTGATCTGATGGTGGTTGTATATATGCTGTTTGCAACAAGAGTTCAATTAAACGGCTTCCAACCTGTGATGTGGGGAGGGTATTGTTTAGTTAAGCAAACAAATAGTAGAAGCAAAATATAGTGTAGGAGAGACTACACAAACCTTTGTCTTTATGACTGTTCCCCACGGTTTTGTATCGTCCTTGTCCTTCACCAGCCCCCTCACTGCGACTAGCTTTTGCTTTTTCATCAAATTAATGACTTTTTTCCGCAGCTTTTGTTCTTCTTTGATGTCACCAACAGACTCGACTGCTTTGTTTTTCTTGCTTCTGTTGCCCTTTTTCTTCTCAGTTTTCTCCAAGAACTTGTATATTCTAACCTGAACCATCAAATAATAAACAGTACATAAGGTTGCACCCATAACAAAAGATTCAATTAAGATACCTATAGATATACAATGTCATTCCCAGGAAGTTTATTAATCAGAACAAACTGTAGAAAATACATAACAAGACAAAAAGAATGAACATTTTGCCATTACAGAGTCCCAATCCTCGAGCCTAATACTTGTATCAGAATGTGTATCTGATATGTGGAGATATAGATTAGCTTTAGTAAGGACTGTATTCCTCAGCTCCAAAAAAGCCTTACATCACACATATCCAGTCCCATTTTATGATTGCCACACCTGGCTCCATGCCCACCTCCAACGTAAGTGTACATTTTTTCTATTAAAAAACAAACCAGTAAAGCCATATTTTTATTTCAACATTACAGGTAACTATGTAGACCTTCAACCCCTCGAGATATTCCACTCTTCCTTCTCCATCCTTTTAAACTTCCTCCACATTCCCACGAGTTGCCTAAGGGTGTTCCTAAGTGATATATAAAAGATCTGGGAACTTTCCAGTTCTTCAAAGCTAACACGATAGGAACACACTCGAATTTATAGAACATAATTCAAAACAGTAGGAAATGAACAATATAAAACAACCACAAAAAACACGATCAATGCAACATCCCACCTCATTTTCAATGGCATCACCTATGCCGCACGCAGCCTGCACAACCCTGGCAGTGCCAACGGTGGCATGCTCAGTTCCGGTCATCAACAGCCCCATTAACTTATGCATTGCGATAACAGCCATCTTGTCCGCCGGTAACTGCACAAAGTGCGGTGCATAGGCTGTCCTATTCCTCCCTGAATTATACATTTCCTGTTCCTTGGCAATAGCATCCCTCAGAGGTTCAAACCAGCCAAGAAATAGCGACTTCATGTACGGCAAGTTGGGTGCCAGCTTCTGCTCACACATGTCCGCCAAAAGCTCTCTATACTCCCTTGCCGCCTCCTCCCATACCTCGGTCTCAATCTTCACCTGCCTTCTTCTCAGCTCCTGGTACCTAGACTGCCCCAAGCCCTTCACTTGATTCTGCCACCTATGATCAACCACCTCCTTCTGCTTCTCCTTCTTCATCCCCTGCAACAGTTTTCGAATTCCACCAATCGGGGTAGCCTCTTCATCCACCTATTCACTCTTCTCTTCTTTATCCATCTCCTCTAACAACAGTTGTTGAATTTCATCAGCCGGGGAAGCCTCTTTCTCCACCAATTCACTCATCTCTTCTTCATCCATCTCCTGCAAAAACAGCAGCTGCTGAATTTCCGCAGCAGCCTCTTCCTCCATAAACTGCACCTGCTCTTCTTTATCCATCTCCTGCAACAGCAGCTGCTGAATTTCATCAACACCAGTTCCATCTTCCTCTACGTCAGTGGAAGAAACCGCCTCAGCAACGCCAGAGAACCCTTTAGCGCATAATCGAAACTGAAAACGATCGCACCTAACACAGTATCGCTGTGGCGAGTTAGACAGAATATTTGTTCTGGGAGAGAAAAGGGAAGCACGGGAGAAAGAGAGAAGTCTAGGAGAGTGGAAGTTGACGCTAACACCGCGGCAGGCTTGTCTCGCAGCGTGGCGCCACATGTTCGATGAAATGGCGGAGAAAGAGGGTTGGGAAAGAAGAGGGCAGGGAAGAGAATCGAGTCCCTTGGCGAGGGAAATGGAGGGAGGGAACATCAATTTGAATGGAATGGGAACGAGACGAAGGAGAAAGGAAAAAGAGGTGAATATGGTGAGAGTGGGAAAAAGGTTTCCAAATTCATAGAGCAGTGAGAGTGGGGAGTCATCGAATGAACCAACGAATGAATGAACCAAAGTGTTTCGCCGCCTTTGGACTGAACGAAGTTTTCGGAAGAGAAGGATGCAAAGCCACCACGGCACAAAAACCCTCCTTGCGACTCAATGGGGTTTTGCAATTAATCATTTCAGAAAAATACTTAGTATTAATTATGTTCGTTTCTAAATTATTTTATGATAGATAAAAGTTACTGGCGATAAATTCTCCAATATGTGAGAAACTGTGATAAAAGATAATGTATTTATAAAATAAAAATATATTGGTAATTTTTTTCTTTTTAGTTTAAAATTCAAAAAGCTATGTGATTTAAATAATAATAATAATATTAACATAGTGTTACTAATAAGTAGTTAAGTTGAATGATTAAAATAATAATATAAAAAACATTTCAAATTCTTTAATTTTTAAACTTGATGTGATTGTAGTTTATCTTTTTAAGAATTAAAATATATATTAAAAAAAAGTGGTATGTTTATATTTGTATAGTTATTTAATTCAATACATAGCAAAAGTAATGTATGTTTTCACGAGCTTACGGAGCACGTAATTTTTAAATATAAATGTTTTATACAAAAGTACTTGATAATGTTAAAATGTTGACTACGAAAACCTAGAAGTATTAAGAGTAATAAAATATTTTAAATAATAATACTAGTTTATTTTAATACTAAAAGTTTAAAAATATAAATAAAAATTTAGCTAAGTGTTTTATTATCTAAAACATAATATCTTTTTAAAATCTATTTTTTCAAAGTTCTTTACCATCATTTCTCACCCATGTTTGGAGATTGAAGAGTGTCTAAATGATCAATGTGGTAAGATCTTCAATTTTGTTCGATCAAATCTTACGAAAGAGTAAATTACTTTTTACTCTTATTTATGGTTTAGTACTCTCCTCATGTATGTGGAGTTTTAGACACTATATGTTTTTCAAGTTGTGTATTATACTATTTGTTGGTCAGTGGTTATAGTGGCGTATCTTAATCATAATTTTGTAAGTTATAAGATAGAGTTTGTGAGCTGTGAGAGCAATCTGGGTTCTATAGAGTTGTTTGAGCTTTTAAAAGGTAGAATGAGCTAATTACTTTGATTTTAATTGGTAGGCAAGTTTTGATTGATAATTGCATGCTTGTATGTTAGTTGATTTGCGTAACTAAGTTGTCTGGTGAGTTTTGATCGATTGGGTTGAGATTGTGTAGTAGAATCATCTTTAAGAAAAATGTGTTTGAATTTTTGCTCAAATATAAGAAAACACCAGAAAGGGGAGTTTCAATAGTATTTTAAAGTTTTTCGCAAATAGTGATTAAGTTACTTAATAGTGGTTAGACGATCTGTATAGTAATTTAACACTTAGGTTAAAGAATGCATTTGAATGGAAAACGTTGTTTGAATACAAATGTGATAAAGAACACTTTAGTTTTATACTAGTTCACTGAATTTAACTACGTCTAGTTCTCTCTCAATATTCAGTTAAGAGGTTCCACTAATACGAGTTTAACTACTCTTGATTTACAACATTAACCAATTGATTATACGAGTTTAATCACTCCTAGTATCAACGTTAAACAACATGTCTAGAACGTTTAACTACATTGAGTTAAATAGTACAAGTGTTTGAATTCATTTTTGAATTTAAACACAACAGGTTTTTTTGAGTTATTACAAAACAGGATATTACTCTCGTAGAGAGGACATATAAATGATATAGTGAACTTCTGAAAACTTGAAAAATATTTGTTCACATATGAGTTTCAAAGAAAACAACTTAGAGAAAGATAGTGAGCATATAACATTCTTGATAGCAAAAATTCTTCTTCTTTTTCTCTTCAACAGTTCTCTTTATATAGACATCTTCGAAAAATATATGTTACTCAAAGCTTTGACTTTCTTTTAGGTATATAGCCTTTATGATAGAGTCAGAAACTATGTCACTTCTTTGCAGAGCAACTCTGTCGTGTACAGGATGAGATAGACAAAAGGCTTGTATGAAACATTCTTTGAATATCTTTACGTGTCTAAATGTTCTTTTGATTATGAGCAGGCTTTTAAATAAAGTTAATAATATGCACATAAAAATATAACACAATGCAACGTACAAAAAGTACTTTAACATACATGCATTCAAACTATTAGATGACCTAAGCATTTAATGCGTTAGACAACTTAAGTGTTTAAGTGTGATGTTTGGTATAATCGTTTGATGCAGGTATGTTTTAAGTAACTTGTAAAATCGTTTACTAATGTAGCGTTAGCAAAACTTTTGTTCAGACTCTATGGCGATTAGACACTCTGTTAGGAGCTTTATAATGTTTAGCGCTTTTTATGTATATGTTAGTCACTCTTGTGATATCAAACGTTCTCATATTGTTTAGCCATTTTTAAAGGTAGGGTTTGTAAGACCTGAGCAAATATGAGTTTTAGAAATAAAGTTATATTCAGACTTGAGTATTTATTTTTTTCTTTTAAGAGTTTACTTGTTTTACAAGGTGTTTTGTTTTTTTTCTTGTGAGAGTTCTTGAATGGACTAAGTGATCTTGTGGTTACATCTTTGTTAGAACATAAATGTTACGTGATTTCTTTGATTTTATTTTAATAAAGTGCTACACGTGTTTTAATATGTTTGTTAGATTGTGGTGTGTGTTGTCACAATTGTGATGTGTTGGCTTGTTAGTAGATATATTGTATAGGATTAAATGGTGGTGGGTTCAATTCCTAGGGAGAAAGCTTAAGGGAAACCTTAATATTTTATTTGTATTTTTTCTTAGGGTTAAAAGTTTTTTTTCCTTTAATAATTGATGCATAAACTAAATAAGGAATGTAGGAAGGAAAAACATGCAAATTAAATAATAAAAAATGAAATATGGTTAGAGAATAATGTGAATACTAGAAGATAAATTTAAATTTAAAAACCAGTTGGGATATGATATGAGATATGATTTAGGTGGTTTTCAAGGCTTTGGAAACAAATTTTTAAACCAGGAGATAGGCTGAAAAATAAAACAAAAAGGGAGTTCTTTGAAACCCTAAACTTAACGTGAGAAAAAAAAGAAAGGGTCATTTCTATAAGGAGAAGGAAGGAGGCTACATGTGGGTGAGGAGGAAACCTGCATGGATTGAAAGAGGGAGAAGGGATTAGATTTATTCTTTTTTAGTGTGTAGATAAAGTTCTAGTATTGACTAAGGTATGAGGAAGTTTACCTTATTTTTATTGTACGTTGTATGTGAGTATGTTCTTGGTTGTCTTGAATGGTATGGGATTTGCATGAGAATGTGGTGTATACTATGATGGTTAAGGGTTTTTCCTATGATAATAGGGTTCCATTAAGGATTGTGTTAATTGCATGTGTGTGATGATTGAGTGTATGAGATATATGCAGGTGGAAAGAGTGGCAAATGCAAGTATGTGTTGTATAGGATTGTATGATGATTATATGCAGTATATTTGATGTCAATGTGGGTAGTCTGCATAATGATGAGTTTTGGAATTTTCCTTTGGTAACATGTGAGTGTTTGGGTATGTTTCCATGTATCAGGCTTTAATGCATGAATGATGTGCCAAGTATGTTTCCAAGTGGTTTAGGAATGATGTAAGTGTGTTTTGAACACTTAACATTTGTCCATAATGAGTTTGGGTTCAGTAATAATCAATTATCGTATGTGATAATTGATACAAATAATCGATTATTTAGGATGATAATTGATTATCCTTTCATACATTGTATATATGGAAAATAGGTGTGCAAACCTCTCTAAAATAACCGATTATCATCATTGATAATCTATTATCCCAACGTATTTTTACTGGAAAAGTGCTTTTGCAGAATAATGGAGGAGGGACAAGCTTCAAGGGTTGCAGAACGTGATATTGAACAGGGAATATAGTTGTCTAATATAGTTGGGGTTAGATTGGACTATTATTTGACATTGAAGCATGGATTTGTAATTAAAGGCACTAAGGTGTATGATTGACCAATGAGCATGAGAGGTGAAGGACATATGTCTGCTTGTTGTACCTAGTAAATCCTAATTTGGACTATCTATGGTGCGATACGAGTTAGGGCTCACTTTGGCCTTGTGCGCGAAAAGGAAGTGGTGTTCGAGTGTTGAACCTTCTTTGTATGGGAGGAATGATGTTTTGCCTAGTCTTCGACTTGTTGCTGAGTATAGGGCCCAGACGTGTCGACATTTTAAATCTATAAGTTTCAGTGGTTTTCTCGTTGAGCGAGCAAATTTGGTCGCTAGATGAGTGTGTTGTCAGGCACTTCTAGCTGAACAAGCATA